CTGTACTGGGGGTCTGCGGGATCTACCGTCAGGAAGTCTTGCTGGGCCAGCTGGAAGCCGGTGACACCAGCCCGCATCAGCATGGTGTTCATGGTGGCCAGGCGCTTGGTGTCCACATCAAAGGCAAAGATCTGGCTGAAGGCAGAGCCCAGTGCCCAGGAGAGGCATGAACATCCCACCCGGCCCCAGGAACTGCACTGACAGTGGCAGCTGCCCCAGCAGCCCCAAACACCGGCCGTCTGCCGGGCGAGCAGAGCTTGGGAGCTGCTCCCCCAGGCAGGAGTACCAAGCAGGGCCAGCCTCAGGCAGAGCGGGGTCAGGGGGCTGGGAAGTGAACCCCAACGTGACTTCACATCCCCTCAAGCCCTTCCAATGACCCACTGCTATCAGAACCCCCAGCCCACCCAGGGAGAAGCAGGCATCAGTCTGACTTAGCAGGGCAGGGTGAAAGGCTGCAGCTCTTACTGCCACCTTCTCTTTGTGCTCTCTGTGGGCTCAGGGGGCCCAGGGTCACCTGCACCCCTTCCCTCCCCCCAGCACACAAACCTGCCCTCACCCCTTGTTCTTCAGGATCGCAGCCAGGTGGCTGGTCTTGTTCCCCGGGGCAGCGCAGGCATCAATGACGTGGGAGCCGGCGGCAGGGCCGAGGAGGAAGGCAGGAAGGCAGCTGGCCTGCAAGAGGGCAAAGCCCCATGAGAGCTGTGGGCAGCAAGCACCCCAGGCCCCTCCTCGGGGCACGGCTGACACTACAGGGTGACAGGGAGCCACTTGTCACAAGTCCCCCACAGCCACCACCATCCACCACTGGAAGCCTCTGCCCAGCTCACAGCCCCATGACCCTCCCAGCTGCTGGTCCCCAGCTCCTACGGGGTGTTTTTACAGCCCTGTTCAGAGCAATTCATTCTGTACCTACAGACTATGGAAGCAAAGCCACGGGGGGGAACCCCACAGCTGCAGGCTGCATTCACAGTTTCTGCTTAGAGTTCAAGTGCTGCAGCAAAGCGGGCCCAAGCCCAGCCCTCCGCACGTAGGAAGGGGCCAACCCTTCACCCATGTCAGTGGTTCTCCCGCCCCTGCAGTCTCCTGTTCCCCAGCTCCCCCACCTTGTCCTGCAGAATTATGTGTCCTGAAGTATACAGCAGGTTGTCATGGAAGTCCGTTTGGGGAGGGAAAACCAGCAGCTCCGGGAGATGAAGATCCAAAAAGAATTTCTTCCCGGAGAGTGCCCTCAGTTCCTCCACGCTGCCCACGAGGCACAGGGAGGATGAAAACAGAGTCCTGCTTCACCATGCCCACACCAGAACCCAGGCAGAGAAACCCTTTTGCCCCAAGGCCTCCTCTCCAATTTGGCACCAGGCAGCACCCAGAGAGGTGGAAAGTAAGAGTGGGGATTGATGGAGACCCCAACCTGCCCTCTGCAAGCACTAAGAGCAACAACCCTTCCCAGGACCTCGTCCAAAGCCCTTGCCACTTGCTGACGTCCCAGATAAGGTGGGGCAGCACACAGAACCACTTACCTGGCTGCCTTGCCCAGATAGGAGTAGCCCTGGCGCTTGAAGAAGTCAATCACATCGTCCACACAAGTCTTCAAGGTGTTGACTCGGACATAGCGTGGTACCTGGAAGGCTGGGGGAGCCCATCAGGTCAGACACAACCCACCAGTATTGCCAGCACAGGGAGAGCACCCGACCCCAAGGCCCACTCACCTCCGGGGCTCGCTGCCTGCGCCAGGGGCAGGAGGTCCTCGTTGCGGCTCACCTTCTGCTGCACCTTCAGGCGGGCCAGCTCAGCCTCCAGCCGGGCCCGGTGCCGCCGGGCCAGCGCCTTCCAGCGGCCCCCACACTTCAGGCCCTTGCCGAAGAGCAGGTCGTACACCAGCACCTGCGGGGATGTGAGTGGGCCCGGTGTGGCAAGACCGGGCAGGACCTGCTGCTGAGAGGTCACCTCCAGACCCATCTTACCTTCGCCAGATGCGGGGGCAGCTTCTTCTCAGCCTGCAGCAGCGCAGCACTGGGCTGCAGCTTCTCCAGCACCGGGGAGTAGCGAAGGGTCTCAGACACCAGGGCATACAGCTGCCGGACGTGCTGTGGGGAGGTCAGGGGCTGCCCGGGGACAGGGACAGGACCTCCCCG